CTTTAAGAAGCAGGTAAATTCTTGATCCTTCACATCCTGAGGGTCTCATTCTACCATCAGTGGTTGGTTTAAGAGTGGGTCTGTGACCCAGATGCTCCGACACGAGAAAACATGTGCTGGGTGTCAAGGTTTCTTTGCTCTTAACAAGGACTTTCTGGTATAAGGATGTGATGATTGTTGCTGCTGTGGTACTAACATTTAATACAATAGCTCATTGAAATGGTGACAGGAGAAGCCTGAAGACAAAAGCCAACAAGCTGAAGATGGCAGAGGAAAGAGGAAAGAACTTGGATGATGGATGATATGAGTTCTTGAGTTAACTAACCCTGGAACCACTACTCAGAATTTCTGTTAGATAAAATAATAACACTTCTTATCATGTAAGGTATGTTGACTAAGGCCTGCTGTTATTGTAGATGAAAGTATCTTAACTAATAATTCAAAGAATGATATTCTTCTATTTAGAAGCAGCAATATTGTCTCCATATTTTCTTCTGATAATATCTTTAACTTGGGGAGGGTAGAAAATAACTCTTCTGGAAGATTTATGAAGTATCATTTTTTTTTTCTGCCAAAATGTTCTGTTTTCTTCGTTTGTGCATGCACACTTCATCCTGTCCTGAAATCACAGAAGCTTCTTTCTTTTTTTAATTTATCTTTATTGTTGAAAGTAGTACAGATGTCTCCTTTTCATCCCCCGTTGACCTCTTCCTCCCTACTCCCAACCCCTCCTCAGGTCTTTAACACACTGTTGTCTATGTCCTTGGGTTATGCATATATGCACACAAGTTCTTTGGTTAACCTCTTCCCGCCCCCCCTCCCCCCTCCCCCCCCACCACCACCTTCTGAGAATCATCAATTTGTGGCATGCTTCCATGTCTCTGGATCACTACCCTGTCTTTACTGAACTACAGGATTTCTAGTTCACAGAGATTTATTTTTTTAATGTGTCTTTTGGTTGTCATACCTCTGGGGCAATGATAACATCCCTTATTTAGATTTTTAAAATGTAATAACTTACTTTCACTCATCCTAAAATCGCCTTTCATCAGAATAGCATCAACAGCTGGAGATTCTTAAGAAAGATGTAGACAGAAAAGAGAATAGACTCTAACAGATTCTAATGGCCTGTGAATTCTCAGCAGGAAGCCTGGGGCCTGCAAATGACACACTTATCTTACCGTATTGTGTCTAGTATTATAACCAGTAGTATAATATCTATCCCCTCCACCACACTGTAAACTTTGTGGGCAGAGAACAGACCAACACTATTTTTGAATGCTTCAGAGTATCTGTTAAAGTCTATTATTTGAATAAATAAGTGAGATTAACTTCCAGAAAGCTGGCACAATTTAGCAGAACTTGACGCCTTTGGTAAGCCAAGCTCCCATTAATTTCCAAGTCATTCATCTGAACATAATAGAGGATGTGCAAGGAAACAATACCTTGGCTTCTCAGAAATTGTATAATATCCATTCCTCATGAACTGGGACACCCCCTAAACTCCTGCTGAATATTCTAGACCTGAACCTGAATCACCTGTTAATCAGGGCTTCACAGACAAGAAAAAGTGAGACTAGCAGAATTTCCACATCTGGAATTCTACGCAGCTAAGCAATTTTAACCAAATAATGATGCCAGGTGATTAAATTGCACCTTAACTCTAGAAGGATAATTTTATAATTTTCAATTATAAGAACTGCCCTATTATCTCTATGTGCTTTTCTTATAATTAATCACTGTAATTAATCCCGACATGAATGATATCTATAAAAATATACGAAAGCCAAAGGAATCAGAGGACATTTTGCCCTTAAATTTAAACATTGAAGTTTCACTTAAGTTTTACTTCAATTCATTGTATTTTAGTATCTTTGCATTTTTTTGAAACATTCTCAGTGCCACAGAGGGTATTTCAAAGGCAAGATTTATAAATCTAAACAAATGTAGAAACAAATAACCCAGGCGCTTTGAAGTGACTTGCCAAAGAGAAACAATCCATCTGCCGCGAAAAACCCATCAAATCAGAATGTGCACCCTGAGCCACGGAGAGAAAAGCCTGACCCTGTTTTTGATTCCTCAAAATCAAAATCTTGGGGCACCCTAAGCTGTGTGATGATAGATATTCGTAGAAGAGTAAGCATTCTCTTGCTATTTCCATGGGTTTCGTCAGCTTGTTTCCATGACTCATAATGGTTTCCTAAAAACAAAAAAACAAACAAACAAACAAAAAAACACCCTCTCATTTCTTTGATCTCATGTGTCCCATGAGTGCTCCTGAGCTAGTTTGCATCAACCAAGCTGCTATTTCCTATTGTGCATCCTCGACTGGACTCATGGCTTTATCAGTTAACTCATTCCCAAAATAAAATTATGAATATTCTTCAAAAGGAATTTGTCCATCTTGTTCAGAGGATTTCAGAGGATGTTTTTCTAAAGATTAAGAAGAAGAAGAAAAAAAGACAAATATTAATCACACAAAAATGTTAAGTATTACCTGAAGAAAACTAGTAGAAAACAAATTTAAAACCATTTATCTAATGTGCATCTTATAAGAACACTAAAATCCTCCTAGAGTCACTGCTTAAGGGCTCTTTTCCAATCCTATGTTATGCAATGGAGCCTCCATTATGTCCAAGAAGACAGTGTGGTAAACAAAGTTATCAGCCTAAGACTCAGGAAACTAGGGTTTTTCTCCAGCCTTTGCCACTACAGTATGTTTGGGCTACTCTCCACTTCTGTGAGTGTTCACACAAGTTTCTTTTAGTTATAACAGTCCATGATTCTAGTAGAGAGACATAGGAACTAGGCCTTAATCATTCACTCAAAAAAATAACTATTGAGCATTTATTAAATGCTAGGCAACATATCCTCTGAATGCAAAATCTTTCCATTATGCTCCCAAGTTCCCCATAAATGCCTCTATCACGTTATTTGACACTATTGGAATTAAAGGTTCCCTAATCTGATTCCTCCACTGACTGAATGTTATTTTTGCCAATGAGCATGATAATTCCTGGCACAAGCATTTGGTGAATGAACAAAGGGAATTCACCAGGTTGAGCATCCCAGAATAAGGGCCAGAATGAGAAGTATCAGGCATAAAAATATCCAGTAATATTCCATTAAAACAATTATATGATTACATTATAGTCTATGTAGAAATTTCTGAGCCAACAGCAAACCATGATTACACTAAGATCCAACTACTGAGACCAGCCTCTCTCTAGTCTTGAATGCAAACGTATCCTTGGCACTTAGTTTCCAGTTTGATGTATTGAGCCACCTGCTGAAAGCTAGTTCCAGCAGGGCATAATAAAATGCAAAAATTTCATCAAAAGGTTGATAAATCTTGAGGCTTCAGCAGGGCTGAACATCTGCATATATTATTGCCTGCTACTGGCACAGCTGAAGGCAGTTCCCCCAATCTGACAATGCCTACTGTATACCAAACCTTACCTTTGATTTGTATATCTGCTTTGCCTTAGGCCAATTTGTGTTAATAAAAAGCTAGGGGTCCAGAGATTCAGAGAACTTGATTACTGAAATTAGGTCTCCTCTGATTCCCCCATGTATTCCAAATTTATATTTCATATCTAATCTCTTTATTAATTTACTTGCAGTCTTTCTCCAGATTCCTGAACCCTCCTAGATGCTGAGAAACATCCTAGCAGCCACCTGTGCCGGATCCCTTTAGTCATCTTTTCAGATCTGCTCTTTACTTTCTCCCAACCTGCTTGGTACTCTGGGTGGTCAATCTATAGAAACTGCCTCCATCTGGTGTCAGCATCCCCTGGCTCTGGTTCAGTGTGACCAGTGGGAAGTACACTGAGTAAAGGGAGAACAGCCAAGCTGGGGTATTTATTTTCTCTCTCATGGCAACCACAGGTTGTTGTATCCCCTGACCAAAGGTCACAGCTCCTGTTGGGCAGCCCTCTGCACATACTCCACCTGTGTGTATGTGTGCATGTGTGTCTGCCTCTGTGTGTGTCTCTCTGGGTTCCTTTAATCTTAGAGACAGGAGCAGTATCCTCACTTATTAGTCCTATGGTGTCACATTCTCCTTTTTTATTTTCCTACTTTAATAAACCCTTTATTAAACTCTCCACAAATTATTTGAGTATATCAATAGTTTCCTATTGGGACCTTTACTAATAACTACCCAAGGATTATGAAGAGTAAATGATTTAGCCTACCACCACCAAGCATAAAAGAACACAACAAATAAATGCTAGTGTCCCTCCTCTTCCCTGTTACAATTTTTATACCTCCTACAATGGCTACCAATTTTGCCTTTAACAGAACAGCTACTTAATAAATATTTGTTGAATGAGCGGGGGGGGGGGGGGGGGGATTTCTAAGACACTTCTGACCACAGTTTTGAATTCAAATAGATGGGAAGCAATGTACAATAATCTAGATGATTAGATGTTAAATTTAGAGAAGTCTTTAGTCTCAGTAATTGAGGACCAGTGGACAGTTCTTTATAAATTCACATTCTCTTTTCTCATGCTCCAACTGACACAATGATTGGCCTGCTGAAATTATGACTCAACCCCAGGAAACTGTACCAAGGTATGAACTGACAGCTCAGAGGCACATGTTGGTTAACAGACTAAGAGATTAGTTTACTGGTCCTTCCTACACCTTGGAGAAACAAGTACTTTTATTTCATGTCATTGAATTCATGTGAGCTGGTTTTGCAAGTTCATCACTTTCTATCTCCTACTCTCAAATAGAAACGTAGTTTGAAGTATACTCTACTTCCTTGGATCTCTTCACATTTACCTCTAATAATAAAAGCATAATATGCAAATTGACTGAGTGGCTGAACAAAGAAACAACTGTCCAGACGACCTTCTGGATGAAGCTGGGGCGACTGCAAGGGCCAAGGCAGCCAGGGCTGTGAGGGCCTACTCTTGCATGAATTTCGTGCATCAGGCCTCTAGTAATGAATAAATTCAAATCGTCAATAAAGCAGAATCATGACTCACTGTGTATACTACTCATGCTGATGGGTTGTGGAAGGAACGTCTAGCTCTGGTATTGGAGAAAGCAGCACCTTGACCTGAGTGGAGGGCAGCCTCTGCTTGGTCCCTGCTGTTTAAGAAGGAGAACAGTTTTCATGTGTATTTAATGCAAAGCAATGCAAACATAGACACAGTGTTTCCTAATGCATAGGAGAACCAAGCCCTCCATCTAGAAAGAATTTTGGCCACTTCCACCATTCACTAAATTTCCTGCCTACAACTCTGACACCTTTGACCCATTTCTATCAACTCTGTTTCTTTCTATTCTTCTGCTCCCACTTTCTGGGGACAAGACCTAAACCATAGTTAAGGAGCAAAGTAGAGAGAAAATGTTTTAAGTACAATGTCAAGTAGCAAGAAAAGAATTTTAGTTTGGAAACTGACTGCAATCATGTCCTTCTATCGTATGTTATTGAAATACGTCCTTCAGAAGAATATTAATGACATCCTTTATTTCAGAGACAGTTTTACCAAGAAGCAGTTACAAACTAGATGAATTCTAATCTGTCTTTCTTTACTCTGACTCTATCAAATTCTTCTAATATTATCTTCAGCTGATTTCAAAGCAGAAGATGAAATATCATGTCCCTGGCATAATGGTGTCTCTTTTATTCCACTGAGGTCTGCAGTCTTGCTTTTCTAGTTTTTTATATTGAAACTTAGTCCTGCAGAGTACATGTGATTTTTGCTTCACAGATGCCTCTGCTTTTTATACAAAGCCCTGAACATGGATGGAAATGAGGTTACCTGTAATGTAGAGAAGCAGATAATTGCTTCTTAAAAAGATTTCTCTTCTAAAAAGAGAAATCAAACAGGAGGATTTAGCCCTGACCAATTTGGCTCAGTGGATAGAATGTCTGTCTCTGGACTGAAGGATCATAGGTTCAATTCCAGTCAAGGGCATGTACCTTGGTTGTGGGCACATCCCCAGTGGGAGGTGTGCAGGAGACAGCTGATAGATGTTTCCAACTCTCTATTCCTCTCTGTAAAAAATCAATAAAATATATTTTTTTAAAGAAGGATTTACATGTAATCAAGTATATGTTTAAGGAGATGATTAAAACTGGTATAGTTTCCCAAAATAGAAATATTTTTAACTCTTCTCTGGGAATTTTTATTGTTTTCATTAGAGAAAATTTTCAATATGAAAAACTTAATTTTTTGATTTAATTTTCTAAATAAATAATACATTTATTAGAGAAATTTTTCAATAGGAAAAACTTAATTTCTGAATTTAATTTTCTAAATAAACAATACATTTATTAGAGAAAATTTTCAATAGGAAAAACTTAATTTCTGGATTTAATTTTCTAAATAAATAATACATTCACATGATTAGAAGTTTTTAAACTATGAAAGAAGGACATTCAGTTAAATGTCTCCCTCTTACCCCTTATCCCAGATAATCACTTCCCATGGCATCACATACTTCCCTTGCTCTGCCACTGGCAACCAAGCTTATTTGTTTTTTGTGTATTAATAGATGATAGATAAATGGATGAATAGATAGATAGATAGATAGATAGATAGATTTATACTTTTATACATATGTATATTATTTTGTCACTTTTTTTTTTTGCCCCCCTCCCTCCCTCCCACACATCCCCTCCCTCCCCAGAGTTTTGTGTCCATTGGTTGTACTTATATGCATGTATAAAAGTCCTTCGGTTAATCTATTATCTCCCCCAGATCTTCCTCCCCTCCCCGCTGTAATTTGACAGTCTACTTGTTGATATACTGTCTCTATATCTATCTTTTGGTTCATCAGTTTATAATGCTCTTTATTATCCACAAATGAGTGAGGTCATGTGGTGTTTCTCTTTCATTGATTGGCTTATTTCACTCAGCATGATGTTCTCCAATTCCATCCAGGTTGCTGTAAATGATGTATTTTGTCACTCTTTATACAACTTGGTAGCCTACTATCCACACGTGTACTTAAGGATATATTTTAGAGAACTTTCCACATTAAGACCTTTCTCATTCCTTTTTACAACTCCCTGGTATTCCACAGAATCCATCTATCATAGTGTCTTTATTTATTTATTTATTTATTTATTTATTTATTTTTAAATATATTTTATTGATTTTTCACAGAGAGGAAGAGAGAGGGATAGAGAGTTAGAAACATCAGTGAGAGAGAATCATCTATCAGCTGCCTCTTGTACACCCCCTGCTGGGAATGTGCCCGCAACCAAGGTACATGCCCTTGACCGGACCCAGGACCTTTTAGTCCGCAGGCCGACGCTCTATCCACTGAGCCAAACCGGTCCCGGCTCATCGTTTTTTTTAAACAGCCTTCTATGTAGATTGTGTCTAATCTTTTGACATTGTGAACACACTAGCAATAAACATTGGACATAAGTCATTTCTCTCTACAGGACAAATTCCTAGAAATAGAACTGCTGGCTCGAAGGGCTTGTACATGTTAACTTCGATAGTCTGTTTACAGACATCCAAGTGGCTTCTGATGCACCTTAAAGCTTCATAATGAACTTACTATGCAAATAATTGTTTATACAATTAGGTTAAAGTATCCAAAGAGCTTATTCATTAAACTTAATAATTATTGAAGAAAATTAGCAGAGCCCTTTCAATTGGAAAGCCAAACTGCTCACCAGTTGCTTATTCATTTGGTTTGCTAATATTTTATATTATGGTATAACCATATTTTTACTGTAGAACGCCTGTAAAATGATGTCTAAAGTAACTCTCTAGTGCGGCATTATCCTCTGTCTCTTCTAGTAGCCAGGGTCATGTAACTCATATGCTATAGCAAAACTTCTGAAAAATTGATAAAAAGGGCAAAAAGTAAGATATGTGTGATTTTAATAACTTCTTCAGAATAGTTGTTAAAACAGGTGGAACTTTTCTTGTTCTACCCTGGGAAATGGAGCTGCTTTTGAATAATATTAATTCAGCAGCACCAGTTAAGGCAGTAGAAGCAGTCAGACATACTTTAAAACTTCACAGAAGTCTTTTTATGAATTTGTCAAATCTCTGAACCAAGCATTTCTTTGACTTTTTTCAGGAACCTCAGAAGAGCCTAAAACATCGAAAAGAACCCCAGTTGGAGTTTTTGACCTGGCTGAATCTAGTGAATAAAAAGGATTTCTAGCAGTAGAAACTTTGATTAAAAGTAAAACTCTATGCCTTATGTTCCCGGATAAAGCCTCTATCACCCTGCCCTTGACAATGTCCAGGTTGCCCTCTGGTCATTATTTTTTTAAGATTTCTATCACGTTTAAAAAGTTTTTTATATCAGTGACATCTGATATCTCACCTCAACTCATCCTTCCAAGGTGATTTTTTTACTCCCACAGACTAAGAAAAACTGGCAAGATGTTCTGTTCCCTTTGCTCCTGATGGTTTTCCTGCCAAAGACAAGGCCCATCTCCCACAGCGAAGATATATCTAAAGCTTCCTCATCCTATCAGGCTCTCTTAGCTGCTAAGCAAATTTTCCCCATCAATGTTTTATACTCTTATCTCAAAAACTACTTGTTCGACAATATTTTTACTTGATTATTACATTGGAAAGCCAAAATAGCTTAAAAATTAAAAAAAAAGGGGGGGGGGAGTAGTAAGTAGGGTTAGGTGCCCATGCAATATATGATCCTCTGTGACCTTTATTTCCCCAATTGTGAATTTATCCAGTTTTGCTGTAATTGCTTGTATGTCTGCCTTCTGTGTACAAAGATTGTATTTTATGCAAGAAGCCACCTTAGAGCATGACACGTGATGGGTCTTCAGTAAAGATGTATTGAAGGACTGAATGTCACTTAACTTTTCTGTGCTTCATTTTTCTTAATAAAGGGGTGTGGTTAGAAGCAATATAGCAGTCATCTAGGAATTTGGGGATAAGACTGCCCTCTGAGAGTTAATCTATCAAATCAACCCACAATCAGAGAGAAAACACGAGAAGTCATCTTCAGAAATGATCCCCAGGCTAAAGCTTGTTAAGTGTTAAAAGTGCTGTGTTGGGAGAATCCAAGATGGCTGCACAGGTAAACACCTAGCCGCAGCCACAGACAAGAGTTTCAATAAAATACAACTAAAATATAAAATGGACATTACCCAGAACTACAGGTAAGTCAACTGACTGGAAATTCTACAACAAGAAGCAAGGAGAAAACCAGAAGGAAGAGCGGAGGAGCTGGAAAAGCCTAAGGTACGGAGACACTCGGCATGCGAGGAGAGGACTGAACCGGAGAGGAAGGGCGGGGCGGCTGAGTGCCTGGCTGGCGTTCCCTAGCAGGAAGGAAATAAAAGCTTCAACTGTGCTGGGCCCCAGTTCCGACTGCTCTGAACCCCAGTTCTAGGCCAGACCCCAGGGACCCAGGCTCATACAGAGGAAGCTGGGCTATAAGGCGGAACCTTGGGGGAGCGGCAAAAGGAGGTCCCGGAGGCGTGCACATTGCGCACAGAGAAGGAATGGTTGGATGTGCCGCGGGATTGCCCTGGCCAGAAGGAGACAAAAGCTCCGGACTGCTCTGAACGCCACCTCCAACTTCACTTCCTACTGAACTGAACCCCAGTTCCGGGCTCATTGGGGGAGAGCCTAGACTGTTTGGTAGCAGGCGAAAATTGAAGGCACCTCAGTCTTGGAGGGGCTTGCAGCGAGTACTGAAGGACTCAGGAGCCGCATAGGGCGTGACTGACGGAAGCCAAGCCGGTAGGATCCACCCTGAAACCCTGCCCCATCAGGGAAACTGCGAAAATGCTGAGACAACAAAATAGATCACAAACGAAAGAAATGGAGGACAAAAAGTGACTGGATATAGAGTTCAAATCTACCCTTATAAGGTTTTTCAAGAATTTCCTAGAAAAGGTCGATAAGACCTATGAGGATATGAAAAGGGATCAACTAGAATTAATAAGGAATCAACAAGAAATGATAAGGAATCAACAAGAAATAAAGAATACATTGTCTGAAATAAAAAATATTATACAGAGTCCTAAAAACAGAAGGGAAGATCGCAAGAATCAAGTCAAAGATTTGGAACATAAAGAGCCAGAAGACACTCCTCCACAGAAGCTAGAAGTCAAGAGAATCCAGAAAATTGAAGATAATGTAAGAAACCTCTGGGACAACTTCAAGTGAACCAACATCAGAATTATGGGGGTCCCAGAAGATGAGAGAGAGCAAGATATCAAAAACATACTGAAAGAAATAGTGACAGAAAACTTCCCCCACCTGGTGAAAGAATTAGACCTACAAGTCCAGGAAGCGCACAGAACTCCAAACAAAAGGAATCCAAAGAGGACCACACCAAGACACATCATATTTAAAATTCCAAGAGCAAAAGACAAAGAGAGAATATTAAAAGAAGCAAGAGCAAAGCAGGTAGTTACCTATAAAGGAGTACCTATACGATTGTCAGCTGATTTCTCAACAGAAACCATGCAGGCAAGACTGGAATGACAAGAAATAGTCAAGGTGATGAATAGGAAGAACCTACAGCCAAAGATAATCTACCCAGCAAACCTATCACTCAGAATGGAAGGCCAGATAAAGAGCTTCACAAATAAAAAAAAAAGCTAAAGGAGTTCATCACCACCAAACCAGAATTATATGAATTGCTGAAGGGGGTTCTTTTGGAAGAGAAAGTAAATAAATAGAAAAATTATGAACAACAAATACGTAACTATCAACAAGTGAATCTAAAAGCCAAGGAAATTAAAAAAAAAACTCTGATGAACAATATTAACTGGTGAATATAATAGAATCAGAGGTATGGAAGGGGAGTGAACTGACGATTCTTGGGGAAAAGGGGAGAGGGGGATGTGGGAAGAGACTGAACATAAACTGTGCACCTATGGATGAGGACAATGGGGGGTGGGGAAAAGGCAGGGGGTGGGGTGGGAACCTGGTGGAGGAGAGCAATGGGGGGGGGGGGGGAAGGAACATTTGTAATAATATGAACAATAAAAATTTATTTTAAAAAAAAGTGCTGTGTCATGCTGAAACCGGTTTGGCTCAATGGATAGAGCGTCGGCTTGGGGACTGAAAAATCCCGGGTTCGATTCCGGTCAAGGGCATGTACCTTGGTTGTGGGCCTATCCCCAGTAGGGGGCGTGCAAGAGGCAGCTGACTGATGACTCTATCTCATTGATGTTTCTAACTCTCTATCTCTCTCCCTTCCTCTCTATACAAAATCAATAAAATATATTTAGAAAAAAAAAAAGTGCTGTGTCATGTGAGCCATCAGGCTACCCCTAAACTGGGGGAGAAGACCCCCTCGATGTGTGTTGGCAGAGGAAACCATTCCAAGACCTGCCAAACAAGTGTTGGCTGTGATTTGACTTCCCAGGTGGTTCTATCTAAGGAGAGAGAACATACGTGTTTTGGGTCATGTTTCTCTCACTGGAATTACTCTTTGTGAATTAATACGGTGGCCCTCTGGTTTTATAAACCTACTAGGAGCCCAGTGCACAATTCAAAATCATGAGGCACCGCCCACCCTCGAGTCACTTGTCTAGCCTGCCTCCCTCTCCGGCCCTGGAAGCAGCCACAGCCACTGCTGATCAGGCCCTCCCCCAGCGCAGGTGTGCTAGGCCCCTGCCACCCTCTCCCTCACCCCCACGCTGCGCATGCAACCTCCTCGTATCTGGTCGACCTGTTACAGCACCCCCCTTAATTAGCATATTTCTCTATTTTAGATAGATGATAGATAGATAGATGATAGATAGATAGATAGATAGATAGATAGATAGATAGATATCGGGATTACACAAGGGATCCTTCTTTGTGTACTACCATTGCAGGAGGCTGAGCCCACAGGCCTGAAGGGAGGCACAGGATCAGGTAAACTCACCTACAGGAGGCACCTGTGTGGCTTCGTGGCCCGTAGGCTACAGCAGCCAAGCAGCCTAGCAGCCTATCCTGGCAGGGCCCCGCCCTCACCCCACAGGTTTCCTGTAAAAGGTCGGCAGTGGTTACTGGCCCCTGAACTATACTGAGATCATTTCCTTGTGACTTCAGCAAAGCTAGTGCAGGCTTAAAGGAAGAAAATAAAGGGAAGGGTGACATGAGGTAATAAAGGTGTATTTTGAAGTATTTTGAAAAATAGAAAGCTCTATGAAGTGCAAAACAGAATATTTTTACCAGCATTTTCTAAAGCCCACTCAAGAGGTCTGCTCAGAATTTAGTAGGACCCGCATATTTAGTAGTGTTCAACAGGAGAGGGGGGAGGAGAGCTAACCTTGGAAACAATGATTTCGCTGTGTCCCTCTCCTTCATACTTCGGGAGATTCAACCATGACCCGTCTTGGAGGCAGTGGCAATAAATGTCTAAACTGTTACCCGCAAAGTACTAGGTTTCATCATAAGAGCTTCTCAAAAAAATACATGGAACTCAAGTTAATCTTAGCAGATGACTGTGATCAAGACAGATGTGGAAATTTTCAGATGGTTTAGCAATTCTTATTCATTTCTCTAATCTGGCTTCAAAAAGCCTTCCAGTCTTAATGATTTATCCTTATTGCTATGCAGAACTTTAATACTGCCATACATCATTCTAACCTTTTCATCACATAAAAATATTGGCACTTTTGTGCAAGCCCAAGATAGCTGGTAGCTTTTCAAGGCTAATAGATCCAATTATGGTAACTTAAAATAGATTTCCATTATTTCAGACACCAACTCCCTACTATGTACAAAGCTTCGTTTGTTACTATTAACAGTGGTCCTAAAACTACTCATTTGCTCCAAATCTGGCCAGTGTGAAAATCAAATGAGGATGGAAAAATAAATTACTGCAAAATTATCTAGAATTAACAGCTAAAAAGGGGTGGGGAAAGTCATTCAACAGACAGCTGCCAATATTCTGAGCCATTGACTCAGTTTCTGGTTCATTCACACAGCAAATATCCTTAATACTCCAAGGAATGAAACTGATGAAGTGTTTAACCATTTTCCTTTCATTATTTTGAATAGACATTATCAAAAGTTATAATTTAGGGGAGGAAATATTTAGGTCTTTGTGGCAGCCATTCTTTCAACATAGTCAGTGTAGAGTTGTATTTACTTGATAAATATTTATTGGGCACTTATTATGTGCCCTTATATACACTATGCTATGAGCTGGGATGTAGTGATGAGTACTATAAGATAGTGTTCCTGACCTCAATGAGCTACCTGGCTCATGGGAGAGACATCAATTTATATATGTAAAAGCCTAATATGCTAAGTGTCCAACCATTCCACTGTTCAACCAATCACTATGATGCTCACTGACCACCAGGGGGCAGACGCTCTGACCGGTAGGTTAGCATGCTGCTGGGGTCTGGCCAATTGGGACTGGGCAAGATGTGCCGGACACATCCTGGAGCCTTCCAGTGGTCCCTCCCCAACCTCTAAAATATTTCTTTTAATTAATTTCCTTTGAATGCATACTGGGCCTCTAATCAAATAATAACACAAAAACATCAAATAGCCCTGGCAGAGTGGCTCGGTTGGTTGGAGGTCATCCCATAAATCAAATTGTTTCAGGTTCAATTCCTGATCAGGGCACATACCTAGGTTTCTGGTTCAATCCCCAGTCAGGACTCATACTGGAGGCAACTGATCTCTCTCTCTCTCTCTCTCTCTCTCTCTCTCTCTCTCTCTCTCTCTCTCCCTCTCCCCTTCCTCTTTCCCTAAAATCAATAAAAACATATCCTGGGTTAAGGATAAAAAATATATTTTAAATAGCAAGAGTATAATAATTGCCACAAAGAGAGACTTGTATTATGAGGATGTGTAATAAGGGGACTTGACCTAATTTGGGAGATCCAATGTGACTTCCCTGAGGAGGTATCAATTAAACCAGGGTTGGACTTCACTAGACAAAGGCAGGGTGGGAGAAGGAAAGGTGTGCAGGGGATGGCAAGGGAGGGAGGATGGTTCAGGCAGGGAGAGTTTGTGCCAAGATGGAGCAAATGTTTATCTGCATATGTTTTATTATCAATTCTTTTATGCCTGGCATAAATGACTGTCACATAAAGGCATGAAAATAAATCACCCTATTCTGCCTTTAGATTCTTCACACTTATGAAATTCTTCCTGCGCATAGAGTCACCCTCCGCATTTTGATCTATTCTGGAACCGAGCAGATGGCTATAACCTTTACTGTTTTATGAACTCAAATCTGTATTTTAAGAGTCATAAAAATCATAGTTAAGCAAGTAAAAATTGAATTCTTGTGTTATCTTGCTTGGTTGCGAGACATCTGGCCCCGCTGATTTATCTTCTCTTCAGCAGGAAATGGAAACCTGCTTAATCTTTATTAGACTGGCCATAAACATGTTGCATATGATAATTTTATAGTGCCATTCATTTTGTTTGGGGGTAATACAAATTACTGGGTCATCCACTATTGGCCTGCAGTAATTCTCTTTCTTTTTTCTCTCTTTTTTTTTTATTGTTCTTTGTCTGCTTTATTTCTCTCTCTCCTTCTATGGTATAAATAATTCTCTAACATAATAAAGTTCCACTTCCTTTCCTTCATGGTCCCTACATACTCACCCACATTAACTACAAAAAGCATTTCAGCCAGTGCTGGATTGTGACTTTGTGGGTGACCCGCATAGTGTCACACAAGCTTCTACATGCTCGTAGAGGGAAGGTCTCCTCTCAGTTTCCAGTGTTAAATGTTAAAGAGCACGGAGAGTTTTGGTCTGTGAGGAACCAGCAGAGGCGAGCTCCCCAGTTCCCCATTGCCACTGGGGTGCTAGAAAGTGCATTCATTGGAGTTTGAGCCTGACTCTGCTAGGACCTGTCTGTGGGTCAGTGACTTAAACTCTCCTAGCTTCGATGTTCTCATCGTGGGGGAAAAGAGAGAGGTTCTTATGAAATAAAATAAACGATGTGGGTGAAAGAACTGTGCATATAGGACGTACTTACTGAGTTCTTAAAGTTTCATTGGCTTCCCTTCTCCTAAGGCCATGGTCAGCCAACTACGGCTAGCGAGCCACATGAGGCTCTTTGGCCCCTTTAGTGTGGCTCTTTCACAAAATCCACGGCCTAGGCGAGTCTATGTTGAAGAAGTGGCATTAGAAGAAGTTTAAGTTTTAAAAAATTGGCTCTCAAAAATAAATAAATAAATAAATAAATAAATAAATAAATAATAAAAATTAAAAATTGGCTCTCAAAAGAAATTTCAATTCTTGTACTGTTGATATTTGGCTCTGTTGACTAATGAGTTTGCCGATCACGGTCCTAAGTCAACCAGATCCTCCTCAACTGTGGCGTCAGCTCTGGAAAGGCAGTGACTGTGCTGGAGGACATACCACTCTGTTGTCAGCACTTAACACCCGATATGTAGTCCGTATTCAATAGATTTTATTTATTTGTTTGTTTGTTTGTTTGTTTTAATATATTTTATTGATTTTTCAGAGAGGAAGAGAGAGGGATAGAGAGTTAGAAACATCGATCAGCTGCCTCTTGCACACCCCCTACTGGGGATGTGCCTGCAACCAGGGTACATGCCCTTGACTGGAATCCAATCCAGGACCTTTCAGTCCGAAGGCCGATGCTCTATCCACTGAGCCAAACCGGTCCCGGCCGTATTCAATAGATTTTAGTTGAATGTTTGTAGGTGAAGAATTTCAGGTTTAAAAATTTCAGCATGTTTTATGGACCCACGCAGCAGGAATAAGTGGAAGCTTGAATCCCAGAAACCTGGGGTTGTGCAGATGTATTGGCTGTCCAGCCTGTGGGTAGCTCACGGGGCCTCTTGGGGTGCAGAAGGCCAGAGGGGCAGATATTCCCGCTCTCTGCTTCCTGGCCTACACCCCACCAATCAGCCACTCCCCCGTGGTGCTGACGATCCTGGCAGAGATGCAAAACTGCCCGGTGGTGTAAGGCTAGCTTGGCAGCTCAGAGGGGACGTCCAGCGGTAGGGACACCAGCAGAGGTATTCTCACCAAACCATTCCTGTGGTATGAGTTTGGATGCATGTTTAGTTGCCTGGCCTCTCTCTCTCTCTCTCTCTCTTTTTTTTAATATATTTTATTGATTTTTTTACAGAGAGGAAGGGAAAGAGAGAGCTAGAAATGTCGATGAGAGAGAAACATCGACCAGCTGCCTCTTGCACACCCCCCACTGGGGATGTGCCCGCAACCAATGTACATGCCCTTGACCAGAATCGAACCTGGGACCCCTCAGTCCGCAGGCTGATGCTCTACCACTGAGCCAAACCGGTTTTGGCAACCTGGCCTCTCTTAACTCCTCTTTATTTTCCAATCTCAGATTCCCTAACCTTCCTGCTGCTTCTGCCGGTTCCATATTGGTTTTCCAATACATTTCCTTTCTGCCAAGTCAGTCAAATTGGTTTCTATTGTTTGCATCCAGTAATCTGAGTCCTAATCTAAGGCCTCTGCCCCAGCCTTGGTTTCCCCATGGGGTCAACTCATTAAGCACCATGTCTAGGGATACATTCCAAAGCTGCTTTTTGCGTTAATTCTCAAAATCTCTTCCTCAAATGGTCAGTGTTTTCATGATTCTTTAATGTCCTTAGCAATTCTATCAAGTGTGTTCCATGTTCTTCAATGAAGTAGAATGACGCTGCCTCTGATCACTCTTTGTCTCTGTTTGTTTCACCTTCCCCAAAGCCCGAGATTCATTTCTTTTTTTCTTCTTCTTTTTTGTTATTTTATTGATTTTTTACAGAGAAGAAGAGAAAGGGATAGAGAGTTAGAAACATAGATGAGAGAGAATCATCGATCAGTTGCCAGAGTACATGTCCTTGACCGGAATCGAACCTGGGACCTTTCAGTCTGCAGGCTGACGCTCTATCCACTGAGCCAAATCAGTTTCGGCCCAAGATTCATGTCTTGTTCATCTGCTCTTTTAACTCTAGACACATTTCCCCTTAGCGTTACTGTGACCTAGTAAGCTTTTATTGTCCATGAACTACATGCTAGACGTTATGCGAGGGACAAGGATTCAAAGGCGAGTAGGATAAGAATCACCTGTGTGAAGATAATAGTCCAAAGAACAAAATGTAAAATAGATCAATGCCCAGACAGGCAACATATGCCGCCATACTTCTCAGAGCAAGGAAGGAAACACAAGGGACATGTGAAATCTGGGGGTGTGATTCTGTGCGACATCTTTCCTACAGCGAAGCTTCTCATTTATCCCATCCGTGTTTGCTGCGCCCCACTGCGCGCCAGGCTCTGTGCAGGGCCAGGGTCTGGGTAATCTCTCCTGGGTCTCCCTTGTCTCTCTGAGAGTGTGAGCCCTCCTATACTCTGTGTGTACACGTGTAACAATGCTTCCTCCTGAACAACTGAGAGACACTGCAGGACGTACAGCCGGAGCGGACAGCAAGAGGCTCTGCTGAAGTGACTGCAGTCACTGCTCTCTTTGAACTACATTTTTTTTTTTAAACTCGTGTTACTGCTTCTCCAGAGAACCATGCTGGCACATTTTTTTCTGACTGCAGCCTATATAATCCATCATTCCAAAGAGAGGCCTTAAAAACAGCACTCGAGGGGGACATTATTTCCTTTCCATTTCTCTCTCAGAAAGAGCAACTTATAATGGGAGGAGGAAAAATTGCATTTAGGTTAAAGGAATATAAATAACAGGAGGGAATCTGCTTCTTCTCGAAAGGACGCCTCATTTGAAAACAGGCCACCAACCCTCGGCCTAAACATTAATATTATACACCTGGCAATAAAGCCAGAGGGTTTTTAGTGAGAGCTATTAAAGGGTAAGGGTTTCTCTGGTGAATCAAAATCACAGGCTCATAAACACAGGGTGTGGTTAGTCCTGTGGTTAGCCAGAACTTTAAATGTGTGATTCTCCCCATTGTCTATGTTGGCAGGACAACTATCGACTTTTCTTGGTTTCAGTGCTCAAAATTTCAAATTGAAAAGAGAAAGGATTGGGAGTCCCTAAAACAAAAGCCCTACAGAGCCAGGCTAAAACATTCCTGGTGTGTGGATGTCAGGTGTGTGTACTGGATCAGAGCGGACACCAGGGGAAATGCCATTTTTTCTCTTTAAAAGTTAATTTTGGCCCTAGTCGATTTGGCTCATGGATAGAGCGTCGGCCTGAAGACTGAAGGGTCCCCGGTCTGATGCCGGTCAAGGGCACATGCCTGAATTGCAGGTTTAATCCCCAGTGTGGGGTTTGCAGGAGGCAGCCAATCAATGATACTCTCTCATCACTGATGTTTCTATCTTTCTCTCCCTCTCCCTTCCTTCTAAAATCAATAAAAATATATTATTTTAAAAAGTTAATTTTGTCTTTGGAAACAGCCCTGTGATTTTTATTTCATTAACCAAACAAAATTGTCACGGACCACCCAAAATTTCCATCAACTTCCCCCACTGTTAGCTAGTATCCAATGACTATTTAGCTAATGCTTATTTTTAGCTATATATATATATATATATATATATATATATATATATACACATATATATATGTATGTGTATATATATATATATATATATATATATATATATATATACATATACATATACACACACACACACACACACACACACACACACACACACACACACACCGTATTTTTCGGACCATAAGACGCACCAGTTTTTAGAGAAGGGAAATGAAGAAAAAAAGATTCTGAAACAAATAGTGTCCTAAAATATTTCATGTGCATTAAAACCCAACATCACAGTCATAAACACATGTAATCAACCCTGTAAAGTAAACAGCAGCATTTAGAACCATTTTAGAGCCGGGCAAGCACACAGAGACCACACAGAGCCGGGCAAGTAAAAAAACTTTTTTAAAAAAGTATATGTGTAGGCTATATTTGGACCATAAGACGCAGGGACTTTTTCCCCCCACTTCTGGGGGGGGAAAAGTGTGTCTTATGGTCCGAAAAATACGGTGTATATATAAGGCTAAGCAACCGGGCCAACCAGCCAACCAGCCGGCTGGCCAGCAGATGGCTATGATAAGCCCTGACCCCCAGGGGGCAGATGCTCAATGCAGGAGCTGCCAAGAGACAGCAACTTTGCAGAGTGCCCTCTAGAACTCTGGGACACCTCAGGGCATGTCAGACTGCTAGTTTCAGCCCAATCCCCGCAGGCCAGGCTGAGGGGCCAGGCCCAGGGACCCCACCTACCAGAGGGACCCCGCTCACTCTGCAGATGCCCTTCGAGCCGCAGTGCACCGCCCCAGATACACTGGCCAGGGAAAGATCATGAGAGGTTGGCTTCAGGGCGGGTCCAGCCCATCTCACCCAGTCCTTCCCCACTGGCCACCTTCTAATTAATTTCCTTTCAATGTGCACGAGTCCATACACTGGGCCTCTAATAGGTTAATAATGTTACTCCTAATGCTGAGATTAGAAAATATGTACATATTTTTAAAGTGAGCTCTCTTGGCCCAGCTGACATGGCTCAGCGGTTGAGCATCGAACTATGAACCAGGAGGTCATGGTTTGATTCTCGGTCAAGGCACATGCCCAGGTTGTGGGCTCCATCTCCAGCGTGTGGATGTGCAGGAGGCAGCCCGTCAGTGATTCTCTCTCATCGTTGATGATTCTATCTCTCTCTCTCCCTCTCCCTTCCTCTCTGAAATCAGTAAAATGTTTGATTAATTTGTTAATTAATTAATTAAAATAAAAGTGAGCTGTTCAGGTGCACCCAGTCCAACTTTTCCTCCAGCTAGGGGGCTGGGTGCCTGCTAACTTAAATAGCTGAGAACACCTCAGGAGCACAGTCCCCAGTGAGCTGCTGTGCAAATCTCCACATGGCTACAGATGCAGCTGCCGTTGGGGGGGTGGGGGTGGGGTGGGGGGGCAGGATTTGTTCCATTTCCTTTCAGTTCTGAAAACGGTTTTACACACCAGACATGAGGTTTCCTTATGTAACTTCTCACAAAGCACGAAGAAGTCTGCTCCCTGGCTGTGCACGAGGAGATATAGTTATATAACTCGTAATTCTGTGGTTTTCAGCCACGCAAGGATATTATTTCTCCCTGACGAAGAGCCCTTTGGCCCTGTCATAGTCTGCCTCTTCCTTTCCAATGTGATTTGACAGCTTGAATTCAGAAGGAAGCTTCCCAATTTGAAGAAGGAGGTGGCACTACAGTGTCTGCGCTAACAGCCCCCTTGCTGCTCTAATGAGGATTCCCTCACTCCACTTCCATTTCTCGGGAGAGGACAGGGTTCTTTTTAATTGGGGCCGTTAGAAGCTCCCCGCACAATGACACACTCTGCTACGTAAAGGCTCCGGCCAGAGCCAGGCCCGCTCTGCAATTACTTCTTGCAGTTCTGAGAAGTAATGGTATCTTGTCTCATTTAAAAATAAATCCCAGGCTTGTTCCTGATTGCTTTTCCTCCTCTGCCTACCCACACGCATTTCTTCTTGCCAACTGAGCAGCGAACTTGCCATTATTTAAGGAGGTGGTTTTGATTGTGACTGTCCCCTGAGAATAAGACATATTAAACTAGATATCATTTGCCCGTGGGTCCTTTCTTCCAGATACGAGGCTAATTTAAAGGAGCTCCGATCTCGTGGCCTTGAGTGAACAAGGAAAGGGTGAAGTTTTGGAATTCGCTGAGCAGTGTTCTGTTTGCATGTCACAGAGCTCACCTGAAATTACTCGCATTTCCATTGCTCGGGGTTTCTCAGAATCACTTCTTAAGGGAACAGATGAAGGTCTGTATTTATGACCTGTTCCAAGAAAAGAAATGAAATATTTAGATGGTAACCAAGCGCATTCTTAAAATATATTCCCCGTGTTGAGTCCAAGGATTACCAGGGAAAATGGGCCATTCGCAACAGGGCCTGGAATGGTGAGACATAAAGAGCTTTTTCTGAAGTTGTTTTTTCATGAACAAATGTAGGTTCTTTGTAAAACCAGTGTCTTCTCCGCTGCCGTAAATGCTATATGCCATCTCCCTAATGAAAAACCCAGCTCTTGTGAATAGAATGTTACTTTATTTATAATATTATAATACATAGATATCATATACAAAATATCTTATTATTTGATATTTAATATCCTAAATGATGTGACTTTTTATTACTGTATATGCTTGGATTTATAAAGCAAGCCTTTGAAAGCTAGTAAGCTTGTCATGTGGGTCGATGTTCATAAGAACTCAATGTTGCCAAAACCGGTTTGGCTCAGTGGATAGAGCATCGGCCTGCAGACTGAAGGGTCCCAGGTTCGATTCTGGTCAAGGGCATATCCTCAGGGGGGGGGTGTGCAGGAGGAAGCTGATCAATGTTTCTCTCACTGATGTTTCTAATTCTCTATCCCTCTCCCTTCCTCTCTATAAAAAATAAATAAAAATATATTTAAAAAAAAAAAAAAGAACTCAATGTCAATCCCCACTATTTGTCTCTTTCTAGACCCATTTTCTTTCTGAAGCCCAGGGAGGTGACGTGGCTGGTTTCTGTCTCTCTTTTTAGTATGCTATTATATGGAAAAAATAGACTTTAAAAACTCAAAACTAAGCACTATTTGCCATAACATGCATTTATTTAAAATAATATAATTTTCAAAACTAGAAAGATCCTGAGTCTTAATGCTGACATTTTATTAGTTATATAACTCTGGACAGAACACTTGATATCCCTGAGGCTCAGGGTCATTGTTGTTGTTGTTGTTGTTTTGTTTTGTTTTTTAAATCTCAACACTGCAACAACACTCAATTACTCTTTTTTTATTTTTATTTTTTTACAGAGAGCAAGAGAGAGGGATAGAGAGCTAGAAACATCGATGAGAGAGAAACATCGACTAGCTGCCTCCTGCACAGTCCCTACTGGGGATGTGCCCGCAACCAATGTACATGCCCTTGACTAGAATCAAACCTGGGACCCCTCAGTCCGCAGACCGACGCTCTATCCACTGAGCCAAACCGGTTTTGGCATGTTGTTTTTTTAAAAAATAATAATAAAAATAAAAATAATAGCACATACCCTGTTTCCATGGTTTGAGAATCTAGTGAAAATCTTGTGAGAATGTTACTGTACAAATATACAATACAATATTATGATCATTAATCAATGCATTAGGGGTTTTCCATATAAGGTATCAGTAACAAGACTTGATATGAAAGTGCTCTCAGAAATATCAGCAACAAATATTTAGTCGAAAGAATTAATGGCACTTGCACTCTAGCCTAGAGGCAACCATTTGTTTGGCTACTGAAATGACTAGCAGCCTTGCCTGGTAAAGAACATAAGAGCCTTGGGAAATAACACAAACAGCACAATAAACAGCTTTTGTTGATTGAGCGTTGCCATGCTCAACATTGTGTTAAGTTTCTTATGCAATCTCTTCCGCTCAATGCTTACTTCAACCCTGCGTGGTAACGGTGACTAGCCTTGTTTTACAGAGGAAAAAACACTCAGACACAGTAAGCAACTTCCTCAAAGGCACATAACTAGTGAGCGGTAGTACTAGGATTCTAACGGGTCCACCTGTCTCCAAGGACCAGTCTCACACTGACACATTTTTCTCTTGTCTTTAAGAGACCACTACTTTCGATCAGGCCTGATATTAAGCAAGTATATTCATGGGCACGCACTCATAGAGGCAGTATATGGATGGATACCCACCAGCAGGGCAGATATATGCATGGGTACACAACAGTAGGGCTATGACAATAGTTCACATTCAGTGTCCACCCTGATAGGGTGGTTATTAGTTATTAAATATGTTAGTATCATCCCCACTGTCTTGATTTCCAGTTCCACATTTTAGCTCAGCCCAGCCAAAAATCTATGGACACACTCACACTCATTAAAGATCCACCCTAAACCACCCCCCCACTCATCACCTTAACTTAGAGCTCCAATGCTAACATTCTTTATCACCACTCCCTATTGAATTGCCATTAACACACGGTAGGTGCCCAGTAACTGGTAAATTGAACTAAAACAAAATAAAAAAAACAACAACAAAAAAAAACACCTATGGATAAGATTAGGAATCCCTTGAAACTAAATGGATTATATCAAATGATGGATTTATTTCTCAATACTTACTCTGCCACTTCTGCCCTTGCCGATGGACTTCAATGAGAGTGAGCAAAAATACAAGTATAAAAACTAATATTACTAACACATACCAAGTGATCTTCATGGGACAAAAGAAATCTGCAAAGAAAAAAAAATACTATAAAAATACAATAAAAGGACACAATACACAAGAGGTTATGTGGTGGTGCAGCTGGGTTCTATTATGTAGTCTGCCCTTAACTAAAATCTAAGTAGTACATAACTTCACTTTATGGGTATTTGCTCTCCTGAATACTTCCATGATGTACTAAAGGAGGAAATTTGATCAGGTGGCTTCCAGAGATCCATTTAGTTCTGAAATTCTAGGGTTAATTTCTTACAGGTTATGCTCGTGTAAGTTTCACTGTCATTTCTATCACTAGGTTAAGACCAGGACATAGCCAAGCAGCCAAAAATTATATCCTGAAATCAACAAAGATGCATTGAGGATGAGGAGGATGAGGAAGAAAAATAAAGACAGATAAAGAGAAAGGGCTGGGCTGAGGCATAGGAGGTGAAAGCTGCCTTGGCGGATGAATAGTCAGACTCCCCTTTTCATACCAGTTCTCAAGGCGATGATCAGATCAAGAATGTGCATTAATTAAACATGCAGTTATCCAAGCCTAAACTGAATGACGATATAGGTAAATAGTTGTTCTTCAAATGACAGTGAAGCCACATGTGGAGGACGGTCACCATCCAGCAAGAGTTTAGCACGATCTCCTTTGGTCCCGCAGAGACACACTGGCCAGCCGACCCAGGAATCAGTGACTTAAACAAAGGCAACCTCATCATTGCAAGACACAACTGTACTGACTTTCTAAGCCATCCTCCGGACACTCATCCTTGCACACATAACACAGCTAATATTTATTCAACCTAGCAAGATATATAACTGGTATATACCCTTGGATGACTGCCCTGTGTGCTCATGATCTGGGTATCCCTTTCACAGGACCCTCCCTCCATGGGCAGGTGTATACTACACAAGCAGTCAACAGTTATTCAGAGAGGAAGCTGAATGAAGAAAAGTCATAATTGACTGGGATGACATAGTGCTTGGCCTCCCCAATATCATTCCATGACAGCTGCCAAACTTGCATTTCTCACTCAGCAAGATAAAAGTATGTAGTCAGCCCAGCCGGCGTGGCTCAGTGGCTCAGTATCGACTTATAAACCAGGAGGTCATGGTTTGATTCCTAGTCAGGACACATGCCCAGGTTGTGGGCTCGATATCCAGTAGGTGGCATGCAGAAGGCAGCCAATCAATGATTCTCTATCACTGATCTCTCTCTCTCTCTCTCTCTCTCTCTCTCTCTCTCTCTCTCTCTCTCTCTTTCTCTCCTCTCCCCCCCCCCCCTTTTAGAGTCTCTCATGCTCTACCGACTGAGCTAGCCGGGCATTCCCCCCCCCCCCTTTTAAAAAAGGAATAGAAGATTGTTAGTGCCAGCAAAAGCCAAGATGGGTCCAACCACCAGGTGTCCCTGGGCAGTGGTCAAGCCATTAAAAAGAAAAAGAACCATGCATTCATTAAAGTTACATTGCAAGAGCAGAATGTGCACAGTTGAGGCCCAGCCAGCCCACCCACTATGGGAGCACAGCATCAGTGTGAACACAGAGGAATGTTTCCCCACAGCCCATGCCGCACACCTTCCCTGTATCCCTGCAGCCACCTGGGAGAGAGCCAAAGGGGAACAAATGAGAATCTGAAAAAAACCTAAAGAGACGGTTTAAATTATTGTTTCAGAGTAACTTTACCAAATTGGACTAAATTTTGTTTCATTCCCTGATAGATTGGGCTTTTAAGAAGATCACATTAGTCTTTGCACAGCAGAGTAAAATATGAGTAATTTCTTAATCTTCTACACATGGCAAAACGGATATCTTTTTCCCAGAATACAAAACCACCTATTTATGCACCCCTATAATCTTTCTGAATTATGGACATCCCCCCAAAAAAATTAGCTATCATTTCACTCTGACTAGATTTATAGATTTTTCCTTTAACACAAAAATTAATCCTCTTAAAATCATAATAGAAATGTTTATTTTTCCTTTATGTTTTAAAGCATTAAGTAATTAAATTGATACATAAATGTACATTGAAATACGTAAATGTTTTAGTATCTATAATCCATACCTCTTTATCTTTCAGATTTCATAATAGTCACCTTTCCTATGCAGCCTTTCCAAAACTTACCTTCCAACCTCACACCTGAACTAAAAGGTACAGACTTTCTCCTACCCTCTCCCCTCTTCCCTCCAGCCCCACCAAACACAAACCTTGAAATACGCACTAACTGCAGAAGCTGTAGGTTCCTGGGCAAACTAACTCACAGGAGAAATTTCTCTGGAGTTATGTATTTTACTTTCAAAATGCACACATAGTATATATTTGTGTTTGCTTTAAAATAAATATTTTTAAAACAGTTGCCTCAAAAATAACGCTATAGAAAACCATTCTAAAGGCGTCTAAAAGGCTCCCAGACATCGGGGACACCCAAACACACAGCAGATGACTCCAGCATAGCACCTGTCGCACTGAATGACCTCCTTGATTGCTTTACCTTCATCTCCCTTTGTGTCCCCAATGCCTGGAAAGCTGCTTGGCATACAGCAGGCACTCATAAATGGTTAGATCCTAAAATGCTCTTCAGGAGTAGGTTTTGTGGCTAAGTGAGGGCACAGTGCTTAGTAAAAGGATCAATTGTGGTGAATCATACGAGAGTGAGTAGGAAGTTAATCAGCCTTAAGCAGAACTAAGATATGTGTAATTTTTGTCTTTGGGCTCCTTCATTACATTCCCCCAACTCCTCCAGTGACCAAAGTGCTTAATCTGCATCCCGCCATCTTCTCCGCTTCACATCAAAAATCCCACTTAGCTATGGTGAGGGGGAGAGATCAACCAAAGGACTTGTATGCATGCATGTAAGCCTAACCAATGGACACAGACACCAGGGAGTGAGGGGATGAGGGGATGGGGAATGGGAGGATAAGGGCACATATATGATACCTTAATCATAAAATAAAATAAAAAATCATTTAATGCAGGCCTGGTTCTCGGCTCTAAGAGGACATGTTAAATCAATTCAAAGTAAGATGTTAATAGCATGTCACAATGTACATGGATTTCACATTTTAAAATAAATCTCACCCTTGCATACCCAAGTGTGGTAGTATTACTTCAAGCACAGATAATAGGCATGTTCAGGCTTTTTCTAGGGCAGAGGGTCTTTCTAGTGACCCTCAAATCACTAAATCCTTCTTCTGCCTCCTGGTAGGGTGGGTCCCATAAATATCACATTTTTTTTGGGGGGGGGGGGACAGATAAAAGAGCTAACATTTTTCTAGCCATATTATTTCATCAATAAAATTATTCTTCAATGACTTTACTTTCAGTGAAGTTAATGTGATAGCCCTTATATAATTTCTCTTTTCCCTCTAATTTCCTTTAAAACTTACTTTTTGCATCCATTTCTACGTGCAAAGAAACATATACACAATTATTTGAGTAATTCATAATTCCACAAGTATGGTTCATAGACTTTTCCTTGGTTGGCTCTTCCTCCATAACTGCTGAGCTTCTAGTGGCTGGTTTTGGATTATAGGTAAAGTTATATTCCTCCAAGTGGTCAACTGCAGGAGCTACAGTGAGGTTAAAATGTCGACAAGGTGAAAGAAGATAATTTGCCTTCGCTTCCATGGATCCTCTCATGATAAGAACTAGAAAGAAATTAGAAAAATGTTATTCACAAAATAGTAGTACCTAGTAAGAAAACAATTCAAAACTAAATCTACTGTATATATTAGTAGAAACAAGAAGTTGCCTGCACTATAAATTTTTTAAGATTATGAAACCAAGGGACAGTAAGATTGAAAGAGAATCAGAGCACCTGAAGGAAAACACAGATATTTCTCTGACAACCTGTGGAACAGATTTTATTTTTCAAAATTGTCACAACAATATTTCTCATCCCACATTACACTAGTTCTATAGGGCTGCCATCACAAGGCACCATAAACTGAAAGATTTATGCAACAGATGTTTATTGTCTCATAATTTTAGAGGCTAGACTTCCCAGATTAAGGTGTTGGCCAAGTGGCTTCTTTCTGAGGGTTAAATGGGTAAGATCTGTGCCAAGCCACTCTTCGGGCTTCTGGTGGTTACTGGCAACCTTAGCATTCCTTGGCTTAAAAAGCATCACCCCAATCTCTGCCTTTGTTTCCACATGGCACTCTATCTATGTGCCTGTCTGTTCCCCTTTTTATAAGGACACTAGTCATATTGGGCCCTTATCCACACTATTGACATCATTTTAATTAATTACATCTGGAACAACCCTATTTTCAAATATCACATTCTGAGATACTGGGGTGTAGGACTTCAACACAATTCAGCCCATAATATACATGTTAACTTAAAATTTTACCACTGCACCATCAATAGGTAGAGTCTAATACCTTTCACCTTGAATCTGGGAGAGTTTGTGACAAGTTTAACCAACCAAATTCAGGGCAAAGCCAGAAAAGGTGAAGCAATATCTACCTTGTTCCCTGGAACATAATATTGGGGCCTTGAACCACTATGTACCAGTTCAACAACCCAAGGTCATCATGCTGTGAGGAAACCCAAACTGGCCCACAGGGAAAGGCCACATAGAAAACTCTGATAAAAAGCCTGAAGAGAGCCAAAACCAGTTTGGCTCTGCGGTAGAGCGTCGGTCTGCAGACTGAAAGGTCCCAGGTTCGATTCCAGTCAAGGGCATGTACATTGGTTGCGGGCACATCCCAGTAGGGGGTGTGCAAGAGGCAGCTGGTCAATGTTTCTCTCTCATTGATGTTTCTAGCTTTCTATCCCTCTCCCTTCCTCTCTGTAAGAAAAATCAATAAAATATATTTTAAAAAATAAAAAAATTAAATTAAATTTTAAAAAAAAGCCTGAAGAGAGAGAAATGCCCACCTGTCTCTAGCTGCTCAGCCCCTCTGCTTTAGCTTGCCACTGTCTTACCCAACAGTATGAAATGCTCCTAGCCAGAAATGCCCAGTTATGCCCATTCTGAATCCTTGGCCCACCAAGAAGGAAGAGGTAGAGGAGGAGGAAGAAGAAGATGAAGAGAAAAAGGAGGAGGAAGAGGAGAAAGAGGAGGAGGAGGAGGAGGAGGAGGAGGAGGAGGAGGAGGAGGAGGAGGAGGAGGAGGAGGAGAAGGAGGAGGAGAAGGAAGGAGGAGGGAGGAGGAAGGAAGGAAGGAAGGAAGGAAGGAAGGAAGGAAGGAAGGAAGGAAGGAAGGAAGGAAGGAAGGAAGATTGCTGTTGTTTTATGACACTGAGTTTTGGAATGATTTGTTACACAGCTGTAGCAACTAAGAGAACTTGTCAATACACTGTTTTCACTTTTCAAAGAGGCAGAGAAGTAGCACCTATGAGCTACCAACCCTTGAAACATTTTCTAGTTCTTTGACATCATAAAGGTATTTCCCCATTTTGCTTCCTGGTGATTTGACCCAAAGCTATGCAATAGTTATAGCACTACTTGAATAAGAACTCAGAAGAAGACATGTTTATTGTACTTCATCAAAAGTCAATGTTTGTTGTTGGCATTATTACAGATGTCCCCTCATTCTTCCCCTCTTGTTCCTATTTCTAATGAATGGGGAAATGCCAATATAAAACAAATAAAAAACAATCTTGCTAAATTGGCATAAGCAATCATTTTTATGCTTAGGCTTGAGGCAACCAATATGTTTTGTGATTATAAGTGAATTATTTAATTTCTCAATGATTCAAATTAATAGAATTTAACTAAAAATATATATTGATTACATAATAAATGTAAGGTTCAATTAGACACTACAGGTAATATGTACCGGTAGTTATTTTTTATTTGTTCATTCATTAAATAAATACTTATTGAGTGCCAAATGTCAGACATTAGGCTAAGATATAAAAATACACTAGTGAACAAAGACAAAGACCTTGCCATCAACAGGCTCATTGGATAGTTAGACAAGTAAAAAAACAGCTCATATGTGGTTGATAAACGTTAAGCAGGAAGAGTTATAAATGTATCAAGAATTCAATGACTCCTTGAAGAATCAAAGTGTAATTTTTTTTACTATGAGAACCTACAAGTTTATTTAGAATTTCTAACTTAAATTTTAAAATCCATTTATTTAAATTCAGTATCTTTGAAAAAAGCATGTTAAATAATTATTTAACCATCCAGTCTTTGTGAATGACAGTGGCATCGATATTTTGAAGAGATATTTTGTTTTTGATAAATCAAAGTAAACCAAGAACAATTAATATCTCAAAGCCCTCCAAGTCAATCATTAAGGGCCACTCCAGGAACTTAAAATGAGAATATATTATTAACACTTTTTTTTTTTTTAACAAAATATGGTCATCTATCCTTGATACATTTTATTCTCACTTTCCCTTTGAATTTACCTTTTGATGTTTGTTCCTGAGAAATAAAATCCATGTTTCCTTTGGACTCACAAACCAAACACATTTTAAATTCACTTGTGCTGTTATGGCATATCCTGGTGAAGTTTTGAACGTTGGAGTGATTTAGAAAAATTTCCATCAGAGTCTGAGTTTCCCTTACTCGTTGCAGAAAAGTCACAACAGAAAAATTTAAGGAAGAGAATGAATAGGTAAGATTAGGTGGTAAACACATTTCCAGACATGATAGCTCCAAAATGTTTCCTATAAAGGAAAACAAAAGACTTTTGTTACTGTGAAAGTTTGAATTTTTCAAATAAATACACAATAATAGCTCCCACATTTTCTTAGGCAGATTCAGTACATTTCAGCTTACCAGTGGCAAGATTTTGCTTTTATATGAATTAACAATAGCTACTCCATTTAAACATTTCTTATTAAAAGTTAGCAACAGCCCTAGTTGGCTTGGCTCAGTGGATAGAGCATCACCCTGCAGACTGAAGGGTCCCAGGTTCTATTCTGGCAAAGGGCACATGCCTGGGTTGTGGGCTCGATCCTCAGTAGGGGATGTGTGCAGGAGGCAGCCGATCAATGATTCTCTCTCATCATTGATGTTTCTATCTCTCTCTCCTTCTTTCTTCCTCTATGAAATCAATAAAGAAATATATTTTTTTTAAGTTATCAACATTCCCCATTAATTTTTAGCAAACAGTCCTTGTAACAAAGTGTTTGCAAACCCCAGCATTTTAATCATTCTCTCTTCTGGAAAAGTTCTAATGGATAAGCCTTAGGTTCCTCTGAATTCATCTGTTCTACACTGAAGGTTCAAGTCAATGGCATGGAGTTGAATAGGGAATGGAAAACATGAACAGTCTAGAATCTCTATTAGTTTCCAAGGGCTGTGTAATGCTTTACCAAACCTGGGTGGCTTAAAATAAGAAATCCATTCTCTTACAGTTCTAAAGGCCAGAAGGTTAACACCAGTTATACTGGTCTGAAGTCTAGGTATCTACAAGGACACACTCCCCTGAAGGTCCTAGGGATGAATCTGTTCCTTGTCCCTCTTCCAGCTTTTAGTGGCTGTGGGCATTCCTTGGTTTGCAGCTGTACCGCTTCAAACTCAGCCCATGTGGTCGCATTGCCTTCCTTTCATAGAATTCCTTCCCTAATCCAACCCTCTGCCCACTATAAGAGAGAGGCACAGGCCAAATCTCCCTGTGCCTCTCTCTTATAGTGGGCAGAGGGTTGGATTAGGGTTCACTTGGATAATGCAGGATCGTCTCCCCATCTCAAGACCCTTAACTTAATCTCATCGGTAAAGACCCTTTTTCTTTATAAGGTAGCATTCAGAGATCCTAGTTTTTAACACCTAATATGTTTGGGTGGCCATTATTCAACCTGCCTGAACCTCCAACGATGAAACTTCACAGGGTGACATAATTGGTATTTTTGTTTGAAGACAAACATCTGATATGAAAATGGTGGTATAAATAGGGGGGGGGGGAGGTCAAATTCAAAAGAAAAGAGGGAAAGACTCTAGTGCTTTATAAGTCATTAGCCAAGATACCTGAACAATTTAATCTTCACGAGTCTCATTTTCTCATCAGCAAAATAGAGATAATAACTCTAGATTCTGCTAGCCTCGTGGGGTTATGGTAGCATCAAGTGGTATAGTACATAGGAAAACACTTATGAAATTTGTACAAATGTATATTATTTAAAAGTCAGACCCATGTTCCAAAGTAAAAATTAAAAATTCATCCTTCATTTAGGGTAGAATTGTCTTTGATATAATTCGCACAAGTAATTAAAGCTCACTATATAAAAATCAGAAATCCCCACTTAGCTTGGCAGTAGTGCTTAAATAAGAAATAGATAACCTCTCTTTCAGATATTCCCATCTGACTCTCATTTGCCAGTATAAGAAAATAATAACATGCTCAATTCCACCATTATATGTCTTTAACTATATTTCATATAATCATATAGGGCAAAATATTATCTTTTTAAATTTTTCTAAATAATGTGGAGTACAATAGAAGAATTACTCCATTTTTTGGGAATTATTACTTCTAGTCATACATCTTGGTTCTAACTTAAAAGAAAATGAAGCTAGTGATTAATATTAAAATTTTATTTTGCTTCTGGAATTTGTACTTTAACATTAATTCATAAGTGTTTCATTACTGATGATGATATTTTTATTATGTAATAAATAAAAAGGCTCATTATCTTATGCATTTGAAATTGCCTCCATGATAATTTACATGGAAGCTACAAACACATTTCATACGTGAGTTGCAATAAAAAATTTTTGGGGGAAAGGATTATTTACTCAACTATACAATTTTATAACTTATTTATAAACAAAGATGTAATCAAATAGGAACTAATTTTTTTTTTTGAAACATTGTCTTCAGTAACAGTGTCCCAGGAGGGAGATAGAAATGACTATCTGATATCACTCTAGCTTTTTTTGTGTTAGCCAAATACACAAAAAACTTATTTCTTGCCATCTTTCTACTTTCCTCACTGGAATCTTTCAACTCATGAAATTTTCAACGGTTTGAATTTATAGTTTTATAGTACGAACTAGAAGGGAGAGAGAGAAATTGTACTGTCAATATTGCAGTCTTATTCAATAAGAGACCAACTAGGCTTCAGAGAATTCACATTGGGCTACAAGGTCATTTTATGATGTTTTTTAAACCTTGGATTTAAATAATTCAGTTGGAAAATAAGTAAAGGACATATCCTTCTCTGGTATATTTTTTAAGAAATAAACAAATTTTACTCAATCTTTTTATTATCAGATGGGCTATAATTTCATCACCGTAAACAAGGATTTATTATTTTAACTACTGCCATTACTGCTGCTGGGAAGCAGGCATCTAAATTCTCACTCTCAGAGTTAGAAATGAATACCAGAATTACTGCACTACTAGGACTGCCATCTCTCAGAGTAAGTATACAGAATGCTAAATAGTATCAGGAAAACAAATTACTGTATAGGACAAATGCCCAGGTCAGTTTTTTTTTTCTTTTTAAAGAAACATGGACAATCTTTATTTTCTTTTGGGCACATCCTGGTGAAGCTGTGAAAGTTATTTTCTTTTTTAACTTTTATTATAACAAATCATATGTAAGCATATATAAAATGTATTGTGCCAGTTAAATCATAATAAAAATAAACACCATGTATCTATCACACAGATTAAGAAACAGGATATTACCAACGCCTTTGAGGCACCCTACCATTCTCATCCCTACACACAACTTCCTTCCCAGAGGTTAACCACTATCATGAATTTTGTGTGTGCCACCCCTTTGCTTTATCTTAGCGCTTTTCAAAAAGGTATATATTCCAAATAACATTGCTTTTTAGCATATTTTAGAGATATTTACATATATATGGAATATGGTATATGTATTATCTTTGACTTGCTTTTTCTGCTTAATATAACTTAGTCATGCTGCTATAGTTCATTCTTTGTGGTGTTCATTTGAATGAATGTATCACAATTTATTCAGTGTCTGACTGAGGACATTTGGGTGTTTCTATTTTTTGCTGTTCTGAATAATGCTGCTATGAACTATAATGCTCATACATGGGGGGACTGTACAACAGTCCAACCACTTTGGAAAACAGATTTTCATCTTATTTAAATTAAATATACACTTAGCGTATCACCCAACAATTCTACTCCTAGGAATATACACAAGAGAAATAAAAACTCATGTTCACACAAATACGTGTAAATGAATTTTCATGGCAGCTTTTGTATTTATAATAATGCAAAACTGGAAATAATCCTTTCAGTCACCTTTTAGTGTCCCTGTTCCCCACGTATGGCCCTGTGACACTGAGACTCTAGGCCACCAGGAATTGGTAGATGCCCTTGAAGTGACCAACTTGTTCACTGTTGCTTACCCATCTGAATTTATAATTTTTAGTCATTTTTCCCATTTGAGAAGTTTTCTTATCAGTTCAACTACGTATTTTTTTTTAATTTTTAAATATGTTTTAGCTCACACTTTATTTTTTGTGTGCTAGGAATGTTTTTCAAGGTAGGGCTATAAAAAGAGAAGTCTCAACTCTCTGTTGACCTTCAAAAATATGTGAGAATTTATAATAAAACCTTCACTGCTTGACAGATGATAAGAGCTCCAAAAAATACTCTGTGTCAAGTAATCATATTTCCCCAACATCTGAGCTATTGCTCTGTTAACTAGTTATCAGGGAACTTTGGAAGAAGCATGAATTATTTCAGACAATACATATTTTTGAGTTATTGCTCCAGAATATTGAATGCACACTAGGAAAAATAAGGGATTTTTTCCACTAGGAACATACCTAAGTGCAACCATTTTTGTGAAGCATTTAGTGATTTATTATGAAATTAAATATACTCAGGTATTCTACTACTAGTTTTCTCATATAAATGAAAACATATGTTCATACAAAAACATGTATGAGAATGTTCATAATAGCATATTTATAATAGCCACAAACTGAAAACAAGCCAATGGATGAATAGACAAATTTTGTGCATTTATACAATGGGCTACTTAGCAAAGGAACTATTGGTATACTCAGTAACATGGATGAATCTCAAAACATTATGCTAAGCCAGACCAAAAATAGATACTGTGTGATGATTCCATTTACTGTATATGAAGCACAAGAAAGCACAAAACTATACTATGATGACACAGGTCAGCAAGTTGCCTTGGGGGTGGGCAGAGATTTGACAGGAAAAGGCAGACGGAATCTCTCCGGGAGTGTTGAAAATTCATAATTGACATGGGATGGCAGTTACATAGGTGCATACCATTGTCAAAATTCATGAAACTGAGCATTTAGGATCTTTTCCATTTTATTACATGTAAGTTATGTCTTTCAAAAGAAGAGCAAAACAAAGCATAACCAATCGCTTCTGAAGATCTTGCATCATTATTGGTATTCAGCAATTTAAAAATATTAGCTACCAGGAGAGGAGAGAGTGTATTTTTTACAGATATTGGTTAACATGTCATTTCCTTAGATCACAGGTCTGCCTCTGTAACAACTGGCATAGATTAAATTGGGTTACGATTCAATTTTTAATAAGCCAGACCATAAGAAAAAATTAAAGAGCCCATTTTTGAGAAGTGGGATAATACTTTCAGGCAAATTTATTGTGGATAGCTTTAATGAACACGTTTTTATACCCCAGACATTAGTAATGTGGGGTACGTATGCTCAGATACTTCAGGGGTTAGCC